CCCTCTCAGCGCCCACTTCCCATGCGCCTTTCCTGCCCCTCATGCCAGCATTCTGCAGCCTCACCAAGAATCCTTGGAATCTGCACATGGTGTCCTCTCAAGAGGAGCACTTTGAAAAGAAATGACCTCCGAAGCCTCATGATTAAAGGTCATCCATCCAACTAACATTTCAAGAACATTTTCCGTGTACTAAGCAGTGGGTTTCCCCCACCGGTGAGGCGGCTTGGTCCTGGGGGGGATTTGCAGGGTGGTTTTCTGCTATCTTAATGACGAGGGGGAGCACCATTGGCCTGTGGCGAGCAGGGGCTAGGCCGAGATAGTTGTCCCGCGGTCTGTGCCGTGCCCCTCTCAGCTCACGGGAAGGGTTCTGTCCCCTGCCAGCTTGAGAAAGGACATGTATGTATGTGTAAAACCTGTTTATGATTATCTGAGCTGACAACCTAATCCCGCTCCTCATGTGAACACACGGATTTGTTTTGGCCATGGGTTTCATACCCCGTGACTTTTCCGGGAAAATAGCAAATTGAATTTAGCTGCAATTGAATTGTGGGGAAAACATACTTTGCTTTACTTGGGTTCAGGATGCAGTTACCCTCACACAAAATGCTGTCGCTGATGGAAGCTCACTCGGTGCTGGGCAGAGAACCAGCTTGATGCCAGGCCACGGGCATGGTATTGAGGCCTGAGGAGTTGCTCTTCTTCATCCACTGCCACCAAGACGATTCTGACCCATACCGACCCTGTATAGGGTTTCTGAGACTGTGAATCGAGCTGGGAACAGACCACCCCATCTTTCTCCCAAGGAACAGAGGGTCGATTTGAACTGGCAGCTTCACTATTAGCACTCTAGCGCCTAACCCTCCACACCACCAGGACTCTGAGGAACTTCGAGGTGTCTTGTTATCTTTGCACAGCCCTTGTTTTTGTCCACCTCTTGTTAGCCTGGGCCTCAAGCAGATAGCAGTGGTCAGCAGCGCCCAGCCCTGTGACTGCAGTTGGCATCATGCATAGCCGGTATGGCTGCCTTTGGTGTATATCAGAGTGGTAGGTGACTAGTTTTTACTTCTGGGGCCACAGGAGGGAGGGAGGGGGCATGTGCGGAAAAGAGCAAGCACCTATTGGCCATGCCCCTCCCCCAACTGCTATTGCCAAAGGCTATTGCCAAAGGTGAGAAAATGGCAGCATAAAGACAGAGGTTATCACAATTTCTCCTCTCATCCCAACTCACTGCCAGGAGTTGATGCTGACTCAAAACGACCCCGTAGGGCAGGGTAGAACTGCCCTATGGGTTTCGAGGCTGTAACTCTTTTACAGGAGTAGAAAGCCTCATCTTTCTCCTACAGAGCTTCTCGGGGTTTTGAACAGCTGACCTTGCGGTAGCAGCCCAACATGTAACCCACTGTGCCACTGGGGCTTCTCATGTTTGCACATTTTATTGTTGATTTGTTGGCTGATCCTGGTTGATAGATGAAGATCCTCAAATCTCAACTCTCTGATCAGCTCAGTTCCTACCTGCATCAGTCCCCTTTACAGAGGAAACTGTAGAAAGTACAACAGACCATACACCCTGCTGACTGCCTTGTCTTCTTCCCGGCCCTGTTCAGTGTTGCGTCTCCATCAAACCATGGCTTAAGGAGGCCATATGCTCTACAGCACCACGAGAGAGTATGTCTTAGAGTGATCTGTTGTCTGCCTTCTGATTGCGCAGCCTCTTGGACTGTGGAAAGGATTTCCGCTTGAATCTAGGAGGCCCTTCGCAGCTCGTCACAGGGCTCACTCATAGCTCTGCATCTTGAATCTGTAACAGGTGCACTTGAAGGCGGCATGCTTTGCAGCATGGCTGAGCAATGCCTCCCAGCAGCCCCTTCAAGTGATGCAGACCAGCTTATGCTGGGTTGATTGGAAGGAATGCAGTGTGTTGCTCTTGCTATCTGCATGTAGTTTGCCCGACTGATGTCCACCAGAATACCTTAAGCTTAGTATTTTCGAGGAAAATACTTTTCCTTTTTAAGAAAACAAAAATTCCTTTTTAAGGAAACAGTTCTACCTCTGGTCCTAGTCCCCGAGAGTCTGCCACACCCGAGCCAGTGAGGGGGTGTCAATTAGGAGCTTATGAGGTTCTTGGGTAGCATGTCCCCAAGACTCACTCAGCCTATAAAAGGCCTGGAAGCCAGCGGCTCTCCAGAGCGTCCTGGGAAGGAACCCTGGTGGTGTAGGGGTCACCAGTTGGGCTGCTAATCACAAGGTCAGCAGATGAAATCTACCAGTTTCCCCTCAGGAGAAAGACAAGGCTTTCTCTTCCCGTGAAGAGTTACAGTCTTGTAAAACCACAGATGCAGTTCTAGCCTGCCCTGTAGGGTCGCCCATGAGTCAGAATTGACTCAATGCAGCGAGGGAGTACTTCCTGTTCATCCGGTCAGTGTTTGAAGTTCTAGGCTACTCACTTCACTAGATGCGGTGGTCATCCATACAGAGTTGAATGGTCCAGGAAGGGTATCCTGGTGGCACGGCAGGTTAAGCACCGGGTTGTAAACAACAAGCCAACAATACAAACACCTCATCTTCTCCCCTTGAGAAAAGATGAAGCTGTGTGCTCTCATGAAGATTTAGTCCCCAAAACTCTTTAAGTCACAGCCCTCCCCTGTCCTATAGGGTTTCTATGAGTCACAATGAACTTAATAGCAGATGGCTAATTTTTGGTAATTTAATATACAAATTAGTAATTTAATATAAAAATTAGTAATTTGTATATTAAAATGCACCTCTAGGTTTATGTTTCCAGCCCCCCAAGACATCAATTTATCAATATACTCATAATAGAAGGCAATACTAATAAATAAAAGGAGGGGGAAGTATTTTACTTATCAAAACTGATGATGAAAGTCATTTCAACTGAAGATGGAGTTTCAGTCGAACTTGTCGTAAGTCAGGAACTGCCTGTACTCTTCTTAACGTGAACCTCCGGTTCCTCTTCATGGGTGTTTCCTTTTGGGTCGGGCTGGCTTGTCTGGGGAAACAAACCAGGGACATTCAACTATAAAAAAGAAAGAGCTTTACATCAAGAAGGCACCCCAGCCCAGTCTAACTCAAGTCCGTAGGTTCACTGTTAGCCCAGGCCCTCTTCAGAGTCATGCAGCTGCAGGCCGATGAGGCTGAGGTGAAGCAGGAAGCAGGGCTGTCACAGGCCCATGAGTGCAGTCACATAGATCCCAGGGCGGTGGGTGCACGGGAGTGCTGGCAGCTCTCTCTCAGGGTTGGGCGTCCAGAAATAGACACAGAGGCCCAGTGATGTTCCAGTGAGGTGAAGTGGCAAAGAGGAATCATCTCTGTTTGATCTTGCTTTTATACAAGAGGCCACACCCCCAAGGCGGTGCCACTAAACTACCACTTGATTGACAGGTTGAACTTCACCCCTAGCCAGGACTGTTTAGTTGACATAGTATCTAACCACTACACCTCTCCTCTGTTGGGTAATATCGAGCAGTTCTCAGTTTGGATCAAAAACTAAGATAACTTTACTATTTTCATTTTAACAATGAATACCTGTATAGACGTTAAGTGAAATAATAACATGTACTACAGTGTTGCGATGGGGCTTCTGTGGGAACTGAAGGGTGGTGTGCTGCATTCTCTCGTTTCCTAATTGGTTGCCATTGTCTTAGAACAATTAGACTAACTCAGACTACTGAAAACCCACCTAGTGAGATAAGAAATGCCTTCAATTGTATTGCACTCAACATTGTAAATGAGTTAGAAGATTAATTGTTTGATGGGTTGGGATTTTAAATGAAAAGCCATCATAGCAGTTTTGTATCTGTGTGAATCACCTGAAGATTGGTTTTGTTTTGTTGTGTTTTTTTTTTTTCATTTAAAAATTCACTGTATGCTGTTTACAAGAGATAGAATATAAATGTAATTATATCGAAAGGTCAAAAGTGAAAGGATACAATATATAACTTACAAGCAGTGCCCAAAACAGTGGAGACGACTATACCAATACACATGAAAACAGAAAGTTTCACCATCTCTATAAACTGGGAGTATTCATGATAGAAACATTACATTACCCAAAAGATAAAATGATCATAAATATATATATATATATATATGAATATAGCTTCAAGTAATATAAAATAGAAATTATTAGCATGAATAGGCAAATCCACAACCAGTAGCGAGAGCATGTATTAGTATATCTTTATCAATACCGACAAAATAAGCATACCAAAAAGTAAATAATAGTCCCAACAAAAATGAAGACTGGTTTTAAAGAGTTTCAAATTAATACATGTTATTTTAATATCAGTTAAATAAATGTTACCATTAAAAAAATCAACCCTGTTTTTTTCTTTATATCTTCAAGCGATTTCCTCATCTGTCCTTTGTAAAGGTAGTTGGCAGGTCTTATTTCTACTAAAAATAAGTATGGTTTTCTTTGAAAAACTAAGGAAACACCTGGTTCATGCAGTTCTTCCTAGAAAATGGGACACTGATTTTTATGATCAGGTTACACATTCAGTGAGGTGTATGTCTTTGATAAAAGTGACAGTGCTCCTGATGGAATGAGTATGTCTGTGTGTATGTGTGTGTGTGTGGGGGGGTTGTGCCTGCGTTTGCGTGGCTTGTGACTTTCTGTAAGTGTGGACCCATGTTGGGACTTGTTTGAGCAGTATGTCATTAGGTACTGTTGAGTGACTTCCCACTGGCAGTGAACCTCTGGGCAACAGAAGGAAACACCACGGGCCCGCGCCATCCTCACAATTGGCTGGTCTGAGGCCGTTGTTGCAGCCGCTTTGCCAACCCGCCTCGTTGAGGGTCTTCCTCTTTCACTGACCCTTTGCGGCCCTTTACCAGGACTGATCTTCCAAAGTCCACGAGATGAAGGAGTATTGTGGCGGCACGTCCTTCAAGCCGTGTTCCTGTCTGCCTTGTCACCAGTAAGTGAAATGATAAGCCCCTCGACTCCCTTTGTAATCAAGTGTGGTCTCCTTCCCTCCTAGGACTTCCTTCATGGGGCACCTGGCCGGGATTCTCGTTGGACTGATGTACACTCAAGGGCCTCTGAAGAAAATCATGGAAACATGTGCAGGTAGCGAACAAAGTGCCTCTGGCCCGACAGCCGTTTGGAAGCGTCTGAACTCTATCGTGGACCAGGAGCAGCTCTAGGTTGCCCTGCGGTTCAGGAGGCTTTTTTTTTCTTTTTCAGTTCAAAGGTGAAACAGCTTCTGCTGACCCTATACAGCTCCAAAGAATAGACTGCACACCTAACTGTTAGGTCATAGGTTTTCCTAGGGATCTCGCTGCCATTGAGTCAACACAGACACACAGTGACCCTCTACTACAGGAGGACCTCTTTCTCTCGAGGAGTGGCTTCTGGTTTTGAACTGCCGAACTTGTGGATTGCAGTCCACCTTGTAACTGCTACGCCACCAGGGCTCCTTTAGGGACTTGATGGCGGTATCCTTGTAGTCCCTTAACCTCAGTGCGACTCGCAGAAAACCACTCTCTCTTTGAAAATGGGTGTACAAGAGTGCATTCTCCTTGAATATTCTGAGCATTAAAACACGAGCCAGGCAAGGACACAACGAAGCAGTACTCAAGTGCCTGTCACGCCTAGACTTTAAAGAACTTACGTGATTACTGGGTCTTCGGCCAGCAAGATAAACATATTCCTGCATGACTTCAGATCAAGTGCGCTCTTGCTAAGTGCATGGTCTCTGCTTGCATTGAAATTGTCCTTTCCGTGCTTCCCTTCAGATTGATGCTCACTGAAAAGACTCGATGTTCATTAGGTATCAGTGCTTCTGTTTTAAGACCTCTTTGTGTAAAATGCTACCCTGGTCTTGACTTGTAAGGAGACTCTTTTGGAAACACCCGTTTTATAGACCACGCAAGCACCAGTATTTCATCTTTTATTCATGAGGAGCCTTCTGAGACTATTCCACCTTTGATTGAACCATAAATAATTTGTTTTCACAGTTTTGTGCTGAAGACTGGCATTCTAGAACACCATAGAAGATTTATGATTTCAGAAAGTGTCCCAGGCCTGCCCTGGCGCCTTGCTTAGTGGCAGTGTGCACCCTGGAGGTGGTTTTCACAGACTGTGTGGCATCAGGGACGATCCCCACTGCCCTGTGTCTTCTCACCACCCCACTTCACCACCATGGCATTCATTGCAAATCTCCAGGTGTATCATAATTTCAATATAGCAACTTAATTATGGAAACCTCCCAATGAGTTTTGTTACCACCTTTTCTCAGTGTGGGTAGAGGAAAAGACATGATTCTCACAAGCTGAGTGTTCTGTTTCCTTATTCTCTGCATGTCTCAAGATTATAACGGTTAGTAACGGTGTCAGGATTTAGTCACGTGTTCAGATTTTACAGAGTTTCCCCCCTCAGCACATGTATGCAGGCACATGCAATGTTAACATGTTGTCAAATGCCACCGAGTCACTACCCACCCTTAGTGGCCCAATGCACAACAGAGCAAAACACTGCCTGGCCCTGCACCTTCCGCACAATGGTTCCTATGCCCGATCCCATTGTTGCAGCCATTGTGTCAATCCACCAGAGCCCTTCCTCTTTGTTGCTGCCCCTCTGCTTTATGAAGCATGGTGTTCTTCTCCAGGGCCTGGCCTCTTCTGAGAACCTGTCCAAAGTATGTGAGACAAAGCTTTGCCATCCTTGCCTCTGAGAAGTGCTCTGACCTTCCTTCCATATGTAAACACAGGGATGCTTCAGTTCTTCTTGCTTTCAAACCCAGCCTGTTTTCTGTGGACTCTCAAGTTCACAGCACTCTACTTTTGAAGTGACACAAGAGAAATACGAAATACTAAAAGCTGAATTTTTGGCATCCAGTGCTGTTTGGGAATAGCCCACCAGCCTTCTGCTCTATGAAGGATCACGAGATGAGGTAGCTCAGGAGCCCTGGGGGAAATAGCCCACTGCTGAGGGCTGCTGTTTGAGAATGCTGTTGGAAGAGGAGGGGCCAGTGGAGGGGTTCGCCCTCACTGGAATACTGATGGACTGGATGAAAGTGTCAGCGGCCTAATTCTCTATGCCCAGAAGCATGGGGTTTGGAAGGCCGACTCCGGTGGCAGGAGGCTCCATAGTTATGATATATATATATATATATATATTATAACATATATATTTTTAATCATTTTATTAGGGGATCATACAACTCTTATCACAATCCATACATACATCAATCGTGTAAAGCACATCTGTACATTCATTGCCCTCATCATTCTCAAAACATTTGCTCTCCACTTAAGCCCCCGGCATCAGGTCCTC